CTTCCAAAGAACAAAAATTATTTTTAAAATACTGGGGAGGGCCTTTTATTCTAAACTAGTAAGTCTTATTTAACTTTTACAGAATTAACTTTTAGCTCTGGACCCTTGTGTATGTGTAAATTCTCAGTGTGTGACCTTCAGATGCTGTAGGGAATGGCAAAGGCAACATGGCATGAGAGGTGGACACGAAGGGAGGGATCTTATACCCAGTTTCCTTTTTTTTTTTTTTTGACAGAGTTTCACTCTGTCACCCAGGCTGGAGTGCAATGGCCCAATCTTGGCTCACTGCAACCTTCACCTCCCAGGTTCAAGCCATTCTCATGCCTCAGCCTCCTGAGTAGCTGGGATTACAAGCACACCCCACCATGCCTGGCTAATTTTTGTATTTTTAATAGAGACGAGGTTTTGCCATGTTGGCCAGGCTGGTTTCAAACTCCTGACCTCAAGTGATCTGCCCACCTTAGCCTCCCAAAATGTGAGCCACCGTGCCTGGATTCCCAGCCTGCTCCATGGTAAATTAACAGGCAAAGCCCCTTGTTGTCCATTTAAGTCCAGTAACATTTTACTTTCTACCTAAACAAAGAGGATAGGCATCAGCATTTCCCCTTTCTTGATTGGAAGATACTGAACACAGTTCCTAGTTCTTAACCTGCATCTGTTGGCAGACACAGCTGACCACACAATCCCAGTGCCCTCCTCCCCTTCTCTGCAAAGCACAAACCTCAGGGGAAAGCAGTGAAGCTCATCAGTAGCTGAAGCCTCAACTTTCCACATTGGTGCCCCTCATGAGTGAGACATCCGCAAGGCCTGGGCAGTTAGGGAGACCATCTGAAGAGAATCTGTCTTCACTTTACCTTCAGTGTTTAAAGTTACCAAATTGTTGGATTGATACAGAAAGGAAGGTGGTTTTTAACCACATAACTTCAAAGTAGTTTAACTCTTTAAAATTATTTTCATGGATTACGATGATCCCAGAGGGAAAATGAAGTGAAAATGTTACCCAAGATTTTTCTTTAGGCCACCGAGTTGATTAGAAGGTCACAGATCCATCCGTTGCTTCAGGCAAAAGAGTATATCCGTCTTCCATTCCAAATGAGGTGAGTGAGTGAGAGGCCTTTTCTGCCCTTAAGTAGAGATGTGGGACAAGTCAAAGTTGCAGTGAAAGGAAGTGTGGTCTGCATTTCAAAGCCTAATACCATGCATATCAATTTTCGTCTCTTCCTCACGATGAAGGCCTTTAAGCTGGTTTGCCCCCCCCATCTCCAGGGAGGCCACTGTAGCTTCTTTCACTCAGAGCTCAGTGTATTCCCAAAACTCTTTTATGAGGTAGTCTGGGTTTTATATCGTCTGCAAATCTTTCATTGCCCACATGCAAGGGACATTTTCATATGACTCTTGGCACTAAGATAACTTCAAATGAATGAATTGCTTTTCTCCCCATCTCTAAAGGATATAATTCTAATCAAACTCAGATAGAATGATTACAGAAAATCTATCCAAATAATTGATGCACTAGATACCAGGACTTGTGTGGGCCCCATTTTACTTGTGTACACAGGACCTGTGGTCATAAATCAATCACAGTTGTGAGATGAGCTGACTAAACATGAGATTGTTCTTTTTAAGAAGCCATACATTAAAGCAGAGCTTCTTCACTCTTCTGAAATCGTACTCAACCATTTGTGTTCAGATGCCCTTTCCCAGGAAAACTAGCCCTGGTTTTCATCAAATTCTCAAAGGACTCTCTAACCCCAAAATACTAGAATTCAAAATAGAATGTAGACACTACTTAGCCTAATTACTGTAAGTTCTCACACTCAGCCCCCAACAAATACATTTTTAAAGCCAAAATAATGAAACACTTTATTTATATCATGTTAAACTCTCTGCGACAGTGCCACAGACATTAAAGGGACACAGTAAGGAAAACACTCCCTGGGGGAAGGGAAAGCAGGTCTCACAATCTGCTTTCACATAGCAGCAAACATTCATTTCTACAAGGCCCAAATGTAAAGCCTGCAAATGAAATCAACAAATTAGTGTAATGGTACAAAGCATTCGTCTGAGAAAATGGCAAATGATAGCCAACCAACAGGCTCTGAGGTACACACTGATAAAAGGCATAGGACCCACAGTTAAGGCATTGAGACATCCAACAGAGGAAACAACGGCAAAAACATCCATTGTACAGTCAACGGGAACTGTTCGCAGCTGGCATCGCCACTCCTTATGTGCTTCTCATAGAGGAAACCCACTACCAGTTACCAGTGGCCAGTCCTACAAGTGAATAGGATCCCTGGAATTTAAAAAAAAAAAGGCAGGGCGCGGTGGCTCACGCCTGTAATCCCAGCACTTTGGGAGGCTGAGGCGGGCGGATAACAAGGTCAGGAGATCAAGACCACGGTGAAACCCCGTCTCTACTAAAAGAAATACAAAAAATTAGCCAGGCGTGGTGGCGGGCGCCTATAGTCACAGCTACTCAGAAGGCTGAGGCAGGAGAATGGCATAAACCCGGGAGGCGGAGCTTGCAGTGAGCTGAGATCGTGCCACTGCACTCCAGCCTGGGCAACAGAGCGAGGCTCCGTCTCAAAAAAAAAAAAAAAAAAAAATCCTTGACCCAAAGCAACAGAAATGGCACTACAGTCATACATCACAGACAATGCGCATCTTAAGAGCCGCCACTGGAGCCAAAATTCCAGCAAGTTTGAGAGCTATAAAAGAAGTGGCACGTGTTTTCACACTATGATACTATAGTATATCACACCACAGGGAAGCATCAGTGCCTAAAAGGTGTGAGTTTTACAAGAGTACACTTCCAAGGAACATGTTCCATGTGTTTGGGGAAAGCAGTCACAGATCGCAGTACCCACTAGCTCACGAACCTGGGATGGGACGATGGGAATAATAGAATGCATCTTATTTTTCCATCTGTCGTTGCTGCTGTTCTGTAAAGGTTCATGCAGACCCACCTAAGCTGAGGAGACGGGATCTAAAGGTACAGCAGAAGACAACCCTAACTTTACCACCCCTCCATTCTGCTGCGACTCAGCTCACAAAGCAGATTCTCACAGAAGCAAGTCTGGGGGCAGGAGCAGTACTGGCCCGCTGGGCAAGCAGAAGACTTGCGTGCCAGTCCAAGCTTTGCCATGGGTAGTTTTACAACCTCGAATATGGGTAGTTTTACAACCTCAAATAGGTGAATTTGCCCCCGTGGGCTTTAATTTACACAGATATGAAAGGTGGAGTTAAACTTTTATATGAGAGGTTTACAAACTTACTGTGTCTGTAGGGGTGTTCTGGACATTGTGGTGGGAGGTAAGGGGGTATTACAAGGGGGCCCCATTTAAATTACAGCAGCCATGCATGTCATGTTGCACCTGACAGATTCTGCAGTTTTAAAATATTTGTCTTTAGATTTTTTAACTGGTTGAAGTGCATGGTCACTGTCAGCACTGGACTTGGACTGCCTGCATTCAGTTCTTATCACCTCCCCATGTGACCTTGAGCGAGTTTGCTTAGACCCTGTCTAGTTCCACAACCAGAAAATTAGGACAATAGCAGTTATTATAATAAGGATTAAATATGAATATCTGAGGCATTGAGAACTGTATCTGGCACAAATATTATCTTTAAGTACTAAATAATGTGTTTGCATCTTTTTAAAAGGTTTTCAGCAACTGAAAAAAAATGTGGCGGGGCTGGGCACAGTGGCTCACGCCTGTAAGCTCAGCACTTTGGGAGGCCTTGGCAGGCAGATCACTGGAGCCCAGGAGTTCAGGACCAGCCTGGGAAGCATAGTAAAACCCCATCTCTACAAATACTAAAAGAATTAGCCAGGCGTGGTGGTGTGCACCTGTAGTCCCGGTTACTTGGCAAGGGCGGGAATGGGGTGGGATGGGGCGCTGAGTGGGAGGATCGCTTGAGCCCAGGAGGTCGAGGCTGCAGTGAGCCATGATGGCGCCACTGCACTGCACTCTAGCCTGGGCAACAGGAGTCAGACCCTGTCTCAAAAAAAAAAAAAAAGTGTCAAATCTTATTAAATGAAGATACTTTGTTTCAAAATAGGCCTATAAACAGAAGGTTCACTTTGAATTTGTAAAGTCCCTTAGTAGATGTCATAAGAACCAAACCCTGTTTTCACATGCTAGAAAATTCTAGAATTGCTTCAACTCCACTTACACATATAAATATATATGGATATATAATATGGCTCTGCCAAGTATTGGTAACTGATGTTTCTTCCTTACTGAAATCTAAAATAGTTGCCCTTCCAGCTGAGTTAGCAGGGGAAGTGTTCCAGATCAAGACTCGCACTGCACAGCTCCCATCGATTTTGCACTGTTTTATTTTTAATGCAGTTAAGAGTCCTCAGATTTGTTACTAGGCTGACAGCTTTGTCTCATGTTCCCACCTTAATTTTTTTAGAAAAATCCCTTCAAGACTATTTTAGGGTCAAATCTTTTGTAGTCAGTCCTGGTGGGCAGTGACTATGAGACAGGCCTGACAGAGGGGTGCCGTGAGAACAGAGGGAGATTTGGTGAGAATAGCTCAGCTGGAAACTCACTGTGCGGCGCTCCTGAGACTGCCCACTCGAGGCTCTAAAGGGATTGCCATTGCCAGTTCACTCCCAGGAGTAGAAGTGAGCACATCTGTCTCAAGATCTACTCTCCAAAAAAAAATAGAGATATATATATATATATTCCACGTTAATTTTTTTTTTTTTTTTTTTTTTGAGACAGGGTCTTCTATGTGACCCAAGCTTGAATATGATGGTATTCTCTCGCCTCACTACAGCCTTGATCCCCCCAGGTTCAGGTGATCCTCCCACCTCAGCCTCCCAGGTAGCTGGAACTACAGGCCTGCACCACCACACCTGGCTAATTTTTGTATTTTTCGTAGGACAGGGTTTCTCCATGTTGCCCAGTCTGGAGTCAAACTCCTGGGCTCAAGTGGTTCACCCGCCTCAACCTCCCAAAGTGCTGGGATTACAGGCGTGAGCCACCGCATCTGGCCTTTTTTTGGTTTTTTATGTTTTTGTTACCTGGTAATCTCTTTTAAAAATACATTTAATAGAATTTCACTGGCACATAATGAGTTGTTGAAGGCTGCCTTTTTTGCCTCTTTCTTCCTACTCTCCAGCTTCCAAACCCCTCTATTGGGAGTGGGGCATTCTAGGCTGATCAGGAGGAAACAAGCTGACACTAACACTGGTTCCCTGGTTCCTATGAAACCAAGCTTATCCTGCCTGTACTAAATCTTACTAAGGCTGTAACACTGAGTCACTAAGAATAACTTCAAACTGCCTCAGAACGCAGACATCAGTGTGTTCTCTAGGTACTTGTCCAAGCGTTTCTGAAACAGCTAAGCTCAACTTTTAGTAAAATTGCACCAATATCAAAATTACAGATTATTCAAGGTCTTACTAGCAAAAACCAGTCTTGGTAACACTGAATGTAATCTTCCTAATGACTTAGTAAATACAGGATGTGCTAGCCAAAGTGAACATACTTTTTAAAAATATATATTTAATATCACATCACAAGGTAATTGTTTAAAACATTACTGCAATAATGAAACATGATTATTTAATTGCTCACTTTCAAAGTATGCTGTTACTCATTTTGCACATTCACTGTGTTTTTGACATTTCAGAGGTGCCCTTCTTCATATCCTGTTTATGGTTCCACTTGGAATAAGAACTAATACTTTTACTGTTTCTTTTTCACCCAGCCCACCATATAAATTTTCCAATAAGAAAATATTTTTAAAAGCGCTCTCAAGTGTAAAAGAATTTTTTTCTTGCTATAAATAATTATCCCTAAATATTTCTGTTTAAGGAGAGTTCACAAACTGGGTCTTGTTCAAGGGGTATACTCATCAAGGCTATACAGTGTGGCCCCAGAACTGACACGCTGGGGTGCCTAGCTACTCATCCACCCATAAAACAGCATGCCATGCACATCCACAGCCCAAAGTGTCCCTGACTACTTGGGGTAGCTGATGTGGCAGTTGTGGCTGCTACTTATGAGGTTGTACAAGATGGAAACTGCATCCACAGTGCCCCAGGGAAACACTGTGGCTGTCACCCACACCCACGGGAGAGAACCCCATTCCTGCAAACACGGCCTTTCTCCAGCACCCATCCTGGCCCGATGGGACAACAGGTTTAAGGAAGGGCAGTTCCAGGAGCAGGGAGATTTGTATCTCCCACAGTTCTCCATGAAAATGATCACATGTTCATATACACATACCCCAAATTATTGGCAGGCTCTGTGAATGCAAATCAAGAGGGACAAATCTGTGCAGCTGGCAGCAAGGTCAGGGAGAGAACATGACTCACATCCCAGCTTGACTACAGTCCCTCTGGCCTTTGACAGAATAAGCATCATGATATGATCAGTCCCCACAGGCCTGGGAGGTAAGTACGCAGATGTCATGGGGGTTTTCAATCTTACAATCAAGTGGTCCAGAAAAAAGCATACAAAGGTCAACTCTCAAAGGGAAGGGTAGTGTGTACTGCAAAAGAAGGGTTAGCCCACTTCCTGTAAGCAGGTCACTTCCTCTCCCCTCTGATTCACGGCCCTTCCAAGTCAGATTTCCACCGTTCATTCCAAAACCTTTAAGATGTTTCACAAAGGGAAGGAAGGAAGATGGAAAGTAAGAATACCACATTGAGATCCTATGAGGCCATTCGGTGTGGAAACGCTGCATTCAAATGTGCCCTCCGCTAACAAGGAAAACTATGGCTTCCTCACCCTGACTCCTGGGAGTTGGGGAGGGCGAGGGAAGGATGGTACAAGACCAAGCCTGCCATCACCAAATGATGGACCACACAGCAGAAAGATGAAGCCCAGGCTCCCAACACACGAGTTCACGCTTCAGCCTGTGACCTCTGTGGGCCCGTTCACCTCAGGGCCAGGCGTCACTGAGATTGTGGGTTCTGGGAGCCCTCTTTGTTTTTACTGTCCTCTGCCGGGCTGCACTCGGACCCCGTGATGGAGGACTTGCACCCGCGAAGCACGTGGGCATTCAGCATCTCCAGCAGCAGGTCATACACTGGGACCACGTTTTTGCACTTCATGCTGAGCAGATGTTCCATGCCCTTGTTACTATGGGGACAAAAAGGTGCTGAGATTCCCTCCTCCAAGGCAGCCACAGGAACACTGAAAACTTCCCCAGCTCCCTGCTCAGAGTCAGTCTACCCCACCCCTAACTCCACTCTTCCCCCAGCCCATTTATCCATGGCTCATGCATCCAGCTCCCCCGATAATTTAGGCTCAAGGGCAAGGACATTGTCAGCCTCTGTGTCCCACCACACACCCATGATGGCCTGGCACATAGGACAATAGATTCTCATTATTTGCAGTAATCATGTTCTATAAAATCATTGTGAACACTGACTCCTCACTCCTAGGGGAAACACAGGGTTAGGTTCCTGCAAGCCTCTGGCCACATCTTCATCAGCTGATCAATACAAAACCTTGTTTTATGTGTGTTTCCTTCTAAAGATGCCTTATGTAATCAATACTATTGACTCATTAACATTGAACTCATGGCCAACAGCACTATAACTCACACCTGAGCAAAGCTTAACACATACTTTCTCCATAAGGCACATCACAGCTTTTTCACACCAAGGAACACTAGACAGCTCTTCAGCCCCACACCAGGGGGCCATTTTCAACAATGAAGTCACTCACCAAAGGCTCAAAAATGTAAAACCATGGCACTAAGTAGACCAAGTAAAGGACACTTGTTGACAGTAGGAGAGCAGCTGCTTGTTCCGTCTCAGCTGGGACTGTGCATGAAGGGCAACTGAAAGTTTTTGCCACTCTGTTCATGACCTCAAAAACACCACGAATATTGATTTTGGGGTTACAAAGAAATTTTAGCAAGCAGATAAATTCACATTGAAGGAATCTACAAACAGGATCTGTTCTGCAAATGGCTGTATGCTGAGTAATCATTAAAGGGGAAAGGCAGAGGTCTTCATCTCCTCTCACTTAAGATTCTTGAGGTGTATATTGTCCTTCTGCATAGCCTTTAGACTTGCCTCCTCAGTGACCAGTTAATTACCTTCTATCCTCCCCTCCCCTCCTCCAGCTCCAGGGCAAGGCTACCCTCATCGTGGGTGACACCAAGCACTGAGCATCATTGTACCAACAGTAGCCACCACTACACACCCTCTTCATCAGCACACACAATTACATTTCCTGATGAGAAACATGCCCTACCCACAGCCCTTCCTTCCTAAATCTGCTGGGCCCACCACTTCTCTTAAGTCTTATCCTTAATTTCCTGATGCCATCGAAAGAACAACTCTTAGGGAAGCATTTGTGCACTTCTCCATATCACCAGCTCGAGGGGCCATCTAGGAGAGCGGGTCTTAGCCTCTCCACAAAAAATGACCTCAGGGCCTCAGCCCTGGGTGATATAAAGAAGAGTGGCAGTTCATGTTAGGGGAGGAACTGCCCCTTTTAGGAGTCCATAAACAGGCTATAAACCCCAGCAACTGAAAAACCGATGAACCACCAGTGGCTGCTATGCAGATCTTGTAAGATACCACATGACATTCCTTCCATGTCCACTCTGTACCCATCTTTGGCTACAGGTGTGTGAATTGACAAATCCCCCATTCACTTTCAGGCGTCATTTTCCTTAACCTGCAGACACTTTTCCCAAATCACTTCACCCTCCGTTGAGCACATAATCCCACCCCACGCCCGAGCGGAGCAGCTCCTGAGAGCACGTACCTCGCATGCCTGACGTGGGACAGGAGCATCAGGAGGTTAGCCAGGCGCATGGATTGCTGCTGGGAGGAGATGCCGCTCTTGGCGATCACCCAGACCAAAGCGTCGGTCACAGCGTTCAGCAAGTGGGCCAGCTTCTGGCTGCTGTCAGCATCCTGGGTCGCTGTGACCAGAGGGTACATATCTGGACAAAGAATAAAAGCCACAAGTCATTGCTCTGAGCAAAGGAGCGGAAGTTGTATGCTCAGCTGTTCTGTGTGCCTGCTCCGAGGTAATCTGGGTGCTTTGACAGCTGCATGTGTGGCAAGACCTTATAAGCATGGTCTTACCTCCCCAGGGGCTCTTCCCTGACAGCCAGTCCCATCACAGAGCTAGAAGAGAAGCCTGGCCTAATACAGACAGACTAAATTGCCACTTGAAGTGCCCACCAGACCCATAATTGTGGCCTTGCCATGGCAAGTATATCTAGTCTCCTGAAACCATTCCATGGTGTTTCTCATCTGCGGCAACAGATACAGAGATGGTCAGAAGGCGAGATTAATTCTACTTTTACCCCATGGAGGGCTCCCCATCTAAAGGGAGTTTAATAAAGGAATGGCCAATATGATGAAGCCTCCTCTGCCACCTCCTTGTGTGTACCACATGCCTCGGACAGCCATGGCAGGGCCCCTGCTGCCACCTCTACATTCTCACTTGAGTGGCACCTGGCTGGGGCAGGAAGACCACTGATTTGGAGTCAGATGGACCTACTTCCTAGCCACCATCTGGAGCTCTCTGAGCCTCAGTTCCTCACTGAGCAATGCATGCAGGAACACATGCTTAGGTCCCCACAACCATGCCCTGGGTAGGCTGCCTCCCCCATCCTGCCCTGCCCTGTGTTTAACTCCCCTCCAACTCTAGGATTGAGACACTGTGGCATCCCAGTGGCAGCAAAGTAACAGCTCAGGTAAATCTCCTCCCCGCCCCCCGCCCCGGACCCCTGACTCCTTGATTCCCTTTAATAATTAGCTTCTCTTCCAGGCTTTTTCAAAGCAAGAATAAATATGTGAAATCAACCAGGGAGCTGCTGAGTCTTGGCTATTATGAAACTGAAGATGGCTGGTGCTCCAGCATCCACAGAATTTGTTTTGGTAGTTTTTGTTCTCTATTTTTATTGGTATTTTCAGTTCAATTAAGCCAGCTCAATTCAACTAAGTTCAACTCAGTTAAGGCAACAGATGTACTGAAGCACAATTATGTAAGTGTAGTGCTTTGCCACATCCCTAGGGACCTCCATAATGTCTGATGATGCAGATTTAAAATATTCATCTTTTCAATAGCCCTGAAGCTGCTTCTCCAACCCTCCTGCTCACTTTGTTCTCCACACTGGTTCTTCCAGAGTTCCCCCACATCCTCAGACCTCCCACTGTCACCCCAGAGATAACTTGTCCTCCCACTTCAGAGGAAGCAAGACCCTACCCTTGACCCCGTGTGTCCCCTTCTGAGTGGCCAAAATGCAGATCTGCTCATGGGGCTTCCTTTAATGGCTTCCCAGCTAATAGGATCAAGTCCAAACCACCTGGTGCAGCTATCAGGGGTACCAGGGCCCTCCCTGCTCCTCTCATCTGCAGTTCCCACCACACCTCGCCTTGAGTTCCCCTCAAGGTGACGCTCCGAACATGCTCAACTTGCTGCTTGGAAACTCTCCTTCCTCTTTCTCTACCCTGATTCTCTTGCTCATTTATACCCATTCCTCCTGTGGATTCCAACATGGTCATGAAATTCCTTCTGGAAGCTTCCCCCAACCTCCCTACCATCCCACCCTAAGTCTGGTCTGAGGTGTCCCCTGATGCTCTGACAGTGCCCTGTTCATCCCCGGCAAAGGCTCCATATTGCCCCACATGCTGGATGTCTGCTTGTCCCCACACACACTCCACAGCCACCCTTCTGCCCTCAGCAAGACTGGACATGAGTGCTTTGAGGGCACAGACCGGTTTTTTTTGTTTGTTTTGTTTTGTTTGTTTGTTTTTGAGAGAGTCTCGCTTTGGAGTGCAGTGGTGGGATCTCGGTTGACTGCAACCTTCGCCTCCCAGTTTCAAGCCAAATCCTTCCGCCGCTCAGCCCCTCCCTAGTAGTGGGATTACAGGCGCACCGCCACCCCATGGCCCGGCAAATTTTTTGTTTTTTATAAGAGACCGGGGTTTCACCATGGCTGGCGCAGGCATGGTCTCAAAACTCCTGACCTCAGATGATCCACGGCACGCCGCCTCGGCCTCCCCAAGAGTGCTGGGAATTACAAGCCGTGGAGCCCACTGTGGCCCGGCCAGACCCTTATTTTTCGGACCCAAACCACCATCATATTGAAATGGTAAATATGCAGTGCAATGTTATGTGGTTAGTACACACAGAAAATTATCCAAAAGTACAGAGAAAGATTATTTCAAGCTGGCTTAGCTGCATAAACAACGCGCTCTCCTTTTTAACTACCTGTAGTCTGTTCAGCTGCAGGCAAATGTGCTCCATGACTCTCCATTCCATTAAGAAATACTGGGTTGGGGATTCCAAAAGGAAGCCCAAAAGTTGTGTGCCTGTAACACTGTTCAGTTCAAAAGTGACAAGATTGGGAACATATAAAAAACAAATCCTCCGATTATACATCAAATGTTCAAGCATGCATAATCAGCCTAAAAGTGGAATGTACACTAACTAATGAATGGCTCAACCAAAATGTGCTCCTATCCAGATAGTGAAGTAGTATTTCAGCCTACGAAAAAGGAACAAGCGACGGTACAGATGAAACCTCAAAACCATCAGGCCTAAGCAAAGAGCCAACACAAGACGCACCATGTTGTATGATTCCATTTAATAATAAAAATGTCTTACAACTAGCGCCAAATCCATAGAGTCAAGAACAGCAGACTAGTGGTGCCCTAGGGGTGGGGTGGGATAGGCGTGGGCAAAATGATGCTAATAAGCAATGGGTTTCTTTTCAGGTGATAAAATTGATGTTCCTAAAATTGATGGTGGCGATGGTTGCACCACTTACCGTGAATAACTAAAAACATTGAACGTATACCTGAATAATGGAGAAATTATATGGGCTACGATTGACTTATATCACAATAACCTGTTACTAAAAATAATATAATGATAATAATAAAGAGACCGCTCAGAACCAAAAATTACCAATACACACAATCTCCTGGGCTGTGTGCGACCAAAGGTTCCTCAGAGAATATGTATGTGTCATTGTGTTACTTCACAAGCCACAGTCATTCCGAAGGTCAGACCCGGGCCCTTCTGCAGGCGTAGGGCAGCAACAGCTCTTACGTGGGGCCCAGAGTCCATACAAGCCAGCAGCGGTCTGGGAGGTGAGGAGCTGCAGTTTTTCGGCAAAGGCATATGCTAAATCCATTTTACATATGGCGGGGGAGGGGGGAACAGTGGTATATACAAAAAACGTGACCTATTTAAAATTATCCTGGGGACCCTCCTTTCTCACACTGATCACATAGAAAGAAATACCCTCCCGAAAAGGACTGTGGCTGAAGAATACCCATGCTGATGCCTGGCTCTCCAGTCACAAGTGCCGTGCCTGCCACCTCCAGGCATCCGTGCCTCAGCCCTTGCTCCTCAAAACACATTTCTACAGAGTACTTGCTAAGTAGCAGGCCCTGGGCAGGGTGGGGCAAAGGCAAGGATCCAAAGCCCTGCCTAGTCAGACACAGAAAACAACAAAAATGTAGCACCCTCTCCACTCCCGAAAAGTAAAAACATCAGGATTCACTGTAGAACAAAATTAAATTACTTTTCATGAAACTGAAGAAGTACAGTTTAAAAAAAAAAAAAAAAGAACAATACAAAGATCTTGGCACCATGCCCCACACATACCACAGAAAGTGAAATAAAATCAAGGACACAATCTCCTCTCCCCTTTATCAGCTGGGAACAGCTGTGTGCTCCTCTCACCGGCCCACCTGATGACATTCTGAGCAGCACAGTGGTGGGGGACAGCCACCCCTCCTTCAAGGTTTGCCACGTCTGATTTGTTCAAAGGATGAAAACCTAAGCTTTCCTTGACTGAAGGCAAATAAATGAGAAAAATCGAATGTGTTAATAAAAGTCCCAGAATACTGACCAAAGGAAAGAAGTCCTGGCTTTGGGGAGCTGTATGCAGCGTTCGCTTGTTTGCTTTGAGGAAAGGAACCTCTGGCCGTGACCCACACCCTCTATCACCACCTCCTGCCCCCAGCACATGAGGGAAGATGGGACTCAAAAGTTGCCATGGTGTGAGGCCGGCAGGCTGCTGTTCAACTGTGCTTTGCCCCAGCGTTCTTGGTCAACAGAAAAGGACCCCCCCATCTTTCCTCATCAGCATCCCTCCGTGTCTTTGTCTTCTCCACCCACGCACTTCATGGGAACTCTCCCTATAAACTCAGAGGGAACCAAGGTTTAAGCCAGTGTCTCTTAATAACTTTCTTAATGTAAAATAGGATTTCCTGGCTTAACCCCTCTATTTCTTTCATTTAATGAAAAGTTTCATCCTTCGTAAATCTTAAAACTGTTTAAATAGACTTGTTTCTAATTTAAAATATTTTAAAGACTATGGGATAATTGATGTAATTAATTACACTCTAATTCCTAAATTACCATACCCCCTCTAATTCTATCCAAGGGAGGGTTTATCTAGTCCTCAGGCCCCTGGGTGGCAAGATGGCCAGTCTATCTGTTGGGTGTTGGGTAGGCTATTAACTATGACACTTGCATAACACCTTAGAGTTTATAAAAACACTCTAACAAGCATTGTAACAGATTGTTAAATGCAACTTTTTCTGTTGTCTCTTAGTCTCAAGAGCCATATCAAAGGCTAAGTATGGTACAGGAATTCCAAGTACCACATATCCTATATATGCACAGTGGAAGAGGACTGGCTGAGAGAGTTAGAATGTTGTGGTCCTTTCCCTTCCCTCCCCAGGAGAGAAATATGTGCCTCTCCACTTAAGCCCATGAAGGATCAGACCTTTGATTAACTATTTGAGTGTATATCCCGTTCTAGACCAAAAGCATTGTATATAAATCATTTTGACATCCTTAGTATTTAGAAATCGTTGATATACAGACCAGAAACTGAGCTGAAATTTAGTTAGATGACAGTTCATTTCCATTCCATACTATAGCCATTGTTAGTAGATATGCATAACCCAG